AGATGACGCCCAAGCTGGACATCAGGTGTTAATTTCACCTGAGAAAGAGCTGGCACCCAGACATGCTGAATTGCACCAGGAGGATGCCTGCCAGTCCTCACAGGAAGCCAAAGCTCACTCAGAGTTAGCTCTGTAAGCACAGACCCAGGGTAACGAGGTGTAGCATTTGAATATACCATGGAGCCAGAGTGTGAAAACCTACAGAATTATCTTAACAAAAGATTATATTTGCGCCTGGGGTTGACAGATTCAGCCCAGGGACCTGGCATCCACTGGGTACCATGCCTGGGTGGGGTAGGGGTGAGGATATTTGTTCTTCATGCTCACATTGCTCAACAACCTTCTTCAGGTTGACCCCAATTCCTCATTTACCTGATGTTAAGGTCCTCTGTTAAGCATTGCTCAGGTTGGGACTCTAAAGTCCTTTTGTCCCTATAGAGGAACTTAATAAGATTCATTGTATGACACTCAGTTACACAGTAGAACTCAGGCCTTCAGTATTCCTCGATCTCTGTAGGGAAGGAATCCCATCACTGTTGCCCACATCCATGATCTACCTATACTAATAGGTTCACGGCCATGGGTCTTAGATCACCCTGTTTACATTGATGAAATGAACCCAAAAGGTACCAGTTTCTATAAACCAAATACTTTGGGAAAGCACAGACACTTGGTGGGATGTCAGGGATCATGTCAGTGCTGCAAGATGTCCTCTGCTCCTTAGCACAGTGCCCTGGGAGTGGACCCAACAGTCCTGGGCATTACCTTTCCAGCTCACACCGTAGCTAATGAGCTTGAATATCCAATGTGGGGAGCCCACCCTACCCACAGCATGCAGTGTGTTTGATAGCAATCTCATATGTGTGAAGAAGGATATTTTCTTTCCTTTAGCTGTGGCCTTTTAAACACGAGCAAAGTTGGTTGTGGTTTAACTGCCCCTATTTTCTCCTCTGACACCCTAGCACAGCTCCAACCAGTAGCGGCCGGTTTGACTTTGAGCAGTTTCCACGAATCAACCGCATTCGACAAAGCACTTAAACAAAAGAAGCCTGAGAAAATAAAACACCAACAGCCACACCAGCGCCCTCCTGCCACCCACTCTGCCTCCCCCTCCACCACCACCGGCTGCCTTCCTACACTGCCCATGTTCAGGGCAGCCCAGGCTGACTTGGGGAAGGAAGTTGCTAAGAAGTTGGAAACCACAGGAGACATTGCCTGGTACCTCGGCCAGTGATATCAGCCCCACAAAGCTCTTAGGGGTTCAAGTGTCCTCTCTTTGTTTCTGTGTTTCCCAATGCAGAAACCCAAGCCCCTAACTAGAGGCCAGTGCCTGCCCTCAAGAGGTCTGCTCAATTCATGAGAATCAAGGACTAGATCTAAATTAATCTTTCTTAAGTCTGGTTGGTCTTATTTTGTTTTCAAATAGAAACTTCTACTTGGTTTGCAAAAGAACCTGTTTCACAGAAACGAGCTTATTGTAAACAAGCAAAAAGACCTTCCCAATGTTAAATAAGACACTGTTTTAATTCTAATATATAAAGTTTTTTACTTTAAAAGGCTCCATTAGGGTAAACAGAAAAATACATGATCACTTATTTTTTCATCGATCTATTATACATTGAACATTTTGTTTTATATCTTTGTAGAGATACACACACATACCAGTGAGTGTCATGCTTGTACTATTATTCAGTAGAAAAAACAGTCAAAGAACAGGAAAAAATATTTTACTTAAAAAGAAATATAAATAGACCTTAAACATGAAAAGATGTTTATCTGCACTCATAGAGAACAGCAAATTAAAACCACAATGAGGTACTATTGTTGCCAGTCAGATTAGTAAAATCCTGACATTGGCAGCATGCTTTCAGCTCTCACAGTGTGGAGAAGAGAAAAATGGGATGATCTCTACACAGGGCAAGTGGGCAAAACCTATCAAAATCAAAATCACCAATGCACATGTCAAATGACAAAAAAAAAAACAACTATTATTTATTTCAGCTTTTTTATAACTGCAAAAATTGGAAATGAACCTAAGAACTGAGTATTTTTACCAGTGAACTGTCTCTACATACTGACATAAAAAGAGCTCTAGGATTTATACATGAAAAGAGAAGTGCAGAGCAATGCATACTGCATACTGTCTGTGTAAGGAAAATGAGAATATATATGCATGTACATCTATGTTGATATATATGTACATTCATGTTTACATAAATGAAAATTAGAGTGTTTTTGAACCATGTAAATGCACAAATGTATTTAACTGGCATTTTAATAAGATCACGTTATGCATATTATGTTTCAACACTATGTCCTGATTATTTTCTATTTCTTTAACGAATCTACACCTTTTGAAGATGCATATTGGTCTGTTAAATAACATCCTTTATTAGTTTCTGATTGGGAATTTGTGTTAATTTGGGGCTGTTTGAAAGAGTGCTATAGTGAGTAAACATCCCTGCACATAAATCTTTTGTTTCCTTTGGAAACTGATGGATCGAATGGTAGGAATACTTCCCAGGTGAGGTGCGTTCCACACATGCGCAGTGTGCTCTGTGCCGGCTCCTCACACCGCAGAGCTGGGCTCAAGCGCTGTTTCCCTCACTTGCGGGCCTCAACCCTGGCTGCACATTAAAATGAACAAAGAGTCTTTACCAAAGTCCTGGTCCTGACCTGTGATAAAGGCTCCTAAAGGACAGCCCTGGGTAGACAGGGAGAGCAGTCTAAAGTCAGACAGTCCTGGAGTCATATGGACTCACTCAGTGCTTAAATGAGCATATTTTTAAACCTCTCTTGAGACCTGAATTTCTTATCAGTGAAACCAGCACAATGCCTGCAAGGAGATGCAGTTGAGAGCTTCAGAGAGTGAGAATTATAGGCAGAATTCCTGATACTCACTAAGTGCTAGGTACTTGCTATCACTCAAACAAAACAAAAACCAAACAAAGGAAAAATCACCTAACAAAACATGAGGGAAACTTGTCACTAACTCAGATAAGCTTTCATAGCTAATGAAGGTGTTGAGATTCCAGCTGTTTGGTTGAATTATATCATAAGGTGTAGATACCTCAAGTTATCTCTTATTCCTTAGAATTTCTAATTGGCGGTTCTGTGGGACTTAGACTCATATAATGGGGAAACTTAGGTATTATGAGGAAAGGAATTCCCAAACAGTGGAGGGAATGCATAATTGGGAAAAATTTGAGAACTGTGTTGTGTTGTGAAGTACGTGGAGGTTTTTTTATAGTTTCTTTTTCCTTTTTTTTTTTTTTTTTAGTTGAGAAGTGTATGAAGTACTCTAGCTCTATAATGGCTATGGATACATGAGGGTTTGTGTGTGGAATCGTATAAATCGTTGCCTAATTGTTCCATTGCACACCTGTGGATGTGGCCTGATGTTCGGGTATTTATTTCGTGTTCTGGGGATTGAATCACGGAAGCCTGTTGGTAACAGGAGGCCAGTGTAAAACGTCCTCCCAACATGGACTGTCATGGGCAGGGGACTGTGACCCTCAATTGCACAACCAGCGTCGGAGCAGGGAATGGGACCCTGGGCAGGGGAAGGGCAGTTCTCGGCACCAGCTCCCAGCCTGATAAGGAAGGACATTTTCCTGCTTTCATTGAAAGTAAAAGGGACCTGTTTCCACTCTAGGAGCAAATAACAGAGAAGTTAAGAGCAGAGCTCCTAAAGCCAGGCTGCTTCGGTTCATGTCCCAGCCCTGTTTCCTAAGAGCTGTGGGGAAGTTCCCTAGCCCTCTCTGCCTCAGTTTCTCCATCTATAGGACGGAGATAATTATACATATCTCATAGGGTTCCTGTGAGAATTATATGAGTTAGCAGGTACTTAGACCAGTGCATGGGCCACAGTGAGCACTATACAAGTGACTGCTATTATTACTTCATTAGGATGTTAATGACACTGAACTCAGTAACTTTAGGTAGAAATCTGAAATTATTTCATTTGAACATATTCTTCTAAAGGTGGATAAACTTAGGCAAAATGAGATGGTTAAGAACAAGTGGCACAGCTATGTAGAGACAGACCAAGTAACCTCGGCTCTATCTAACTAGCTGTGAAGTGTGACTTCAGGTCCACTCCTCCTTCCTCCACACCATGTGGCCTCCATATATGTGGTGTCGTGCTGTGGTGGAAAAGAGCGGGACCATGAGGGGCGCATAACCTACCTCCTGCCTCAGAAATGCACCTGCGTACTCCACAGTCTCCCCTGGGGTGAATCTGGGGACCTCCGGGCCTCTTTAGCCTGTGGGAGGAGCTGGCAGAGGCTCCCCACACGCAGAGAGCAGCATTAGCGGTGCCGCTGTGCGGGGACGTGCAGCCCGTGTCATTAGCTCCCCGTGAAGAGCAGGAGCAAGTCTAAGGCAGAATTTCTATCCTGTTTGGAGATATTATGGTCACTCCAGAGTAGGTCACAGTTTTATCCCAAGAGGAAAGACAAACGCGAAATTAATGAAGAACCAGTGGCCGGATGTATGTACGAGAAAACATGAATATACCCACAGGTCCTTAAGAAAATTCTCCGAGACTCCTTGAAGGATGCCTTCAGTAAAGAAAGGGCATGTCTTTGTTTTGTTTTTCCTGATTGAAAGTGGGTGAAAGGAAAGACATATGATACTGTGTGTGTCTGTGTGTTTGTGTGTGTGTACATGTGTGTATGTGTGTGCAAGTGTGTATATATATATAGGCTCTACATTCAGAGAGACCTGGATTTAAATTATGTCCATCATGGCTGTGCATGGTGACATGCACCTGTAGTCCCAGCTACTAGGGACACTGAGTTTGGAGGGTCACTTGAGCCCAGGAATTGGAGGTTGCAGTGAGATATGAAGATGCCACTGCACTCCAGCCTGGGTGACACAGCAAGCCTCTGTCTCTAAAAATAAAAATTTAAAAAAAATGAAAAATAACTATTACTTAAAAAATAGTTACCTACTTAAGGTAGGCAGATTAACTCATAATCTTTCTACGCTATGAACTGTGGGCCATACGAGAGGCTCCTAGTGTGTGGCAGAGACTCACTGATCCTTTTCCATCCCACCTCACCTCTCTGCAGACAGGTAAGAATAGAGATCACTGTCAGCGCTTGTGCGTGTGGCATCTACTGTTTATGAAGCCGAGCTGCCAACAGTAAAAGTCAATGCTCCTGAGGACTTGCGTGCACCAAGCGTTATTAACTCGTCTAATCCACACGGCAACTCCAGGAGACAGGGCACTAAAACTTCACTCTACATGAGGAAATTATGGCACATGGCATTCACACAGATCTAATACCAGACCCAGGACTCAAACCCAGGCACTCCAAGACCCATGTGCATGTGCCTAACCCCACAGCCACGCTGCCTTCCTGGTGCTCATGCAGCTCTCACGGGGATAAGGTGAGGATCAGGAAACATGATGCCGAGGAAACACGGGTGCAAAGCTGTACACACAGTGCGAGTCTCATTACATGGGGCCCTGTTGTCACCGGAATGTCCCAAACCAAAAGACTCTGAATCTGGTGACCTTTAAAAGAAAAGCAACTAGGCTACATAGTTTGGCTGTGGCTTCTCTCAGAGACAGTGCCCCAAGGGAATTCATAAGCACTATCTCAGGGAAAGAATGAGAACTGTGGTATCGGACCATTATTACAAGCAACACATAATTTCATAGCCCGATTGCTATGCTGCTTCTTACCTTGGATGCTTACCTTGCTATGCTGTTTCTTACCAATTCAATTGCATCAAATTAAAGTACACACAGACAAGGGCAAACTTCTCATTGTTTAAATTTATTGTGCCTATTATAGAAAACAAAGCACAGCATTCCAGTAGCAAAGAAGGCTGCTTCAGGGCGTGTAAAAGGAAGGCTTTCTGGCAGATAACTGGCTGTAGGGCACTAAGGGGTGAGGCTGGAAGCTGCGGGCTGTCTACACTGAGGCTGTGATGACCTGGGCTGGCTGGAGGCGCTGGTGGAGAAGGTGGAGAGAGTTGTGCTCAAGGCTGCCCTGGGCAACTCACTGTCGTAGTTATAGGATGAAGTTTTCTGTTTGCCCACTGGTTTGAAAACCCACCACAAAATAATGATATAATAGAATAATGCACACAGAAGCTGAAATAGCCCAAATCCAAAAAGCAAGGTCGGCTAGATCCTCAGCAGACATTTTGGGGGACAATAAACAATGAAGAGGAGATGAACCCATTGTGCCATGATCTCTTAGGATCTCTTCCCACTGCCGCAGACAGCTGTTCTTCTAATCAGACAGAAGGCAACAATCCCAAAATAGATCACACTCTTGAGGAGCAGGAGGAGGTAGGTGTAGTACGCGGAGGTATTCGTGAGCTGCAGCCACAGTTCATCTAAAAGAGGCCATTGAATTAGTTTCACCTTTCTTTTGGCAGGCTGGGACATATGACTGGTGAAGGGTTCCTGGGTATTTATTTCTCACGATCTACATTGAACTGACATCCCAAGACCACTGAAATCCGAAAGTAAATATGTACCTCTACCACCAACAACTATAAAACCAAGAGCAAGACAATTCATAATTCAGCTTGTGAGTTGATTAACAACCTCTGCTTAATTTACCGAGAACATTCCAAAATATTAAAAAAAATAAGGTTGCCTTTTTAATAAATGAGTCCAATAATGAATAAAAATATTTGTCATAAATATGTTTTAGAATTTTTTCAATTTCTTCACCCCCAACATGTCACTAACTAATAATAATAGATAATATCCTTTAACCATTAAGTGCGAGAAACACTATTCTGAGATGTCTGGATGTAAATCTTTAATCTTATCTGATCTTTATAACAACCTATGAGAGAGAGACAGAGAGACATTCTGTTCATTGCCATTTGCAAATAAAGAAACTGAGGACAATGAGAGAAAGAATTTGCCTGATGATGTACATTTATTTTAGCAAAGGCCAGAACCCAGATTTCAACCCAAGTAACCTGACTAAAGAACAGAACATATTTTCGTCTACTATTAGTTGCAAGTGTAATAAACTTCCCAAACATCAAAAGGTCAAGCATAAATATAAAGTTGAATTGCTGATATAGAAGCATTGAGCCATTACAAATTGTGTGTGTGAAGAGATCTCTCTCAAGGAAGAGTGCAAGCCAAGGAAATTTAGTGGTGTTTACAGCAAGAAGGACGGAAGCTTTTAGTAAAGAGGGCATTATGAAAATATAGCATAAAGTGGTTAATCCACACTCCCTGAGCTGTTTGGTGGTTGTGGCACACTCAACTGTCCTTCCTAAATGTCTTTCACTGTGGCTATGACATTATTGGGTAACTGCACTTAATATTCTTTGAAGATTTGTGAGAAATATGTGCTGTCAAGGAGTAAGTAAAGGTCACTCAATGAGCCATGAGGCTGAGTATCTTCCTGTGGAAACTTCCATTTTGCATGTTCTGTCATCATAGACTCAGAACTTCAGAAACATTAGACCTTGGTGTAAAAAGGTATCTCAAGAAGTGATGTGTTCCTAACTCCCTGTGCTTGGTCAAGTGAAGTGTTATTGCCGCCCCACCTGCCAAGTGTGGCAGCTGGAATCCAGAGCCCCCTTGAGACTGGGGACAGAGCAAATTTGAGCAGGGCTGGAGCCAATGTTTCTAGTCACATGCTTTGTGCACAGACAGGGAGAAAGGGCCAGAAACCAGCACTGATTCTGTGTCTCCTAAATGAGATGCCTTATGTCAACTTTTCACATCTGTGCCCTTATCACTTCAATAACTGTGAGTTTAGTGTAGTTATTCTCTGTTGGAAGATGAGAAAATCATTACACACAAAATGTTGGTCATGAACCTAGATTTATGCAACTAATCACTAAAAAATCTAGGGTTAAATTCCAGTCTGTGGTCTCTGAAGCCCATGTACCTGCTCACTCCTACATTATATCCATGGCATCTCAGGGTCCTGGCTATGGAATTTATTGCTGTGTGACTATATTGTAGAGAAAAAATAGAGAACTTAATAAGTCTATGAACTCTTCATACCACAGTCTGATTTGAAACCCCAGATCTAGATCTGTGACACGTGTAAGGGACTTAAATAATTTCACCTCACTGCCCTCATCTTTAAAATGGAAGAAAAAATATGTTGTACCAACTCATAGCAATATTATGCAGATTAAACAAGAAAATACATGCAGAACACAGCCCAAGGCCTTCTGTGTAAAAACCATTTCATAAGTCAGTAAGTACTAGTTCATGTTATTAGCTACCATCAAGGACCAAAGACTGAAAACAAAACAAAACAACAAAAATCTAGAAGCAAGTTGGTATCCTGTTTTTCACAGAAAATAGGAACAAAAAAGAGAGATGAAATGAAATCTGTTTGGTAAAATAGTCCAGAGCATATCACTGTACCCTCTAAGTTATAGCCATCTTATACCCAAACCAGCAGTTTGCTATATTAATACGACTCCTAGGAAATAATTGAATAATTTAAAATATCATACTCAGTCTATTCTGCAATGCCCACCCATTCTGATTTTTAATACCAGGAAGCTCAAAAGTTAAGATGATCAGGAGGAAAAAAAACCACAAAAACTTACCGTTTTCATCTCTGGCATAAGGAACAGCGGTGACAACTGGAAGAAATGAGAGCAAGTACTGGTCAATTGTTCATGTCCATTATTTGACAGGATGTGTATGTGTATATGTGTTGTATATATAAATAAATACATATAAAATCTGTCAACAGAGAGATAGGAGGACATTCATGAAAAATATGAGCCCCACCATTCCAGAAACAATTGGTCTGATTCTAGGTTATTCAGTAGTTCTGATTCATATACTACGTTTCTGTACGTGAAGAAGTTGAAGTCATGAATGATACATTTTGTTTTTGTCTTTTCTAACAAAGATCTTCCCATGTTTTGTTATGTGTTTGTTTCCCGCTGGTTAAAAACGGCTTGTTAAGCACAGGGAAAAGCACAAAATGAGTGTTTCTCATGGCCACTGTGGGGACTTTGGACTGTTACATTCATACTCAGGGCTTTGACACTCAGTGAGGGACTGGACCACCAGCCTAGGGCACATCCAGCCCAGCTGTCTAGATACACACACATCTGCACCCAAGGGGCTCCTTCAGGATATCATGCCTGAATCACGAGTGACCTGAGTGATCAGAAAAAGAGTATGTTCTCTTCACTGTAGTGCCGCCTACTTGGGACAGTAACAAATCCTACTCATCCATGAATCCACCAGGGTTGGCATACGCGAGCAGTGAGATAAACGTTCATTGAGCTGCATTCACCATTGGCAAGAAATACATTCATTACAGAGAATGTAAGTGTGTTTGCACACGTTAGCCTCACCAATCTTTAATTATGAAATTTTACCTTATGGTGTTATATAAAATAAAAATCTGAAAAACCCAATGCCGTAAAACAGCACCAGTCAAGGATATTTTGTTTTTTGATGAGCTGTGCTCTGGCTTCTTCAGGCAAACACAATTTTGTCTATTATGAACCCATTGTCTATAGGTTAAACTTCATGTGTAGCACGATTGAAATGAGTGACTTTGCTTGCCTCATAGAACATTTCAGAAAGACGTATATACTTGTTCTTATTTTCCAATGAACTAAAGCCATCAAAAATGGAAAGTATTTTTGAGCACTTACCATATCCTAGGTTGCTAGGTGCTGTTGTGCTAGGTGCTGTTGTCTCATATAATTCATATGACAATCCTAAATAAAAATCATACAAATTTATATTTTTGATGATAAAACTGAAGCTGAGAATGCATTTTTTTTCTTCAAAACCTATACCATTTTAATTTTAAGGGAAAATAACAGGGCATTCATGCTACCATTGAATATAACAACATTTAAGGAAAATGCATATTTGTTTTTCATTAATACTGACAGAATAAGTATTCAAGTAAGTGTTCTGGGAGGTTGCAATTATATTTACATACACATACCTTTCTTTACTGGAGGAAAGAGAATCTCTTGATCAGCTCCTCCTTTGTTACTCTCGTGTTTGATGACACACAGGTGCTCTTTATCCAATGACGTTTCAGGCACAGTTAGCCAGCTAAGTTTCGTATATGTAATGCCAGTCTTCATGGTATCTCCCTGCTGGGATTCCAGGATCTTATTGCCATTCTTTTCTTTCCAATATACCTTGATATCACCAGGGAAAAAATTCTCAAGAAGGCAAAGATGTGTCCCAGCCTTTTGGAGATTTGTTTCAGCAATTGAAGGAAGAAAAATAGTGGGCTTGGGGGAAACGGCTCCATCAAGGTCTTTATCAGTGAGGGAGAAATGGAATAACAATTAAAAAGAATTATTAGAGAAACACACACATTGCTGGCTTTGGAACAACCTTGTGCCTAACAATAGGAAGAAAAGTTGCCATTGAATTAGTATCCATCATGTCCTTTCATCTGCAATAGATTGCAAGGATTCACTGATTCTGAAATGCACCATATTTATTTCCTGTATAAATTAATGTCAGAAGGAAGTTTTCCATTTCTATTTTTAACAATATGTAGTCGCTTGTTTTAATGGGAATCTGCTTCCACGTGCACTTACAATCTATCAGGTTGACTGTTTAGCTTCACATGTGTATCTCATGCAGATACACATGCAGTTCCGAAGTCCTCCTAGTTAATTCCTAACTTGACATAACATCTCACTTCACATTTGCATCCCTCCAGGTTTCTGGATGGTGTAGGATTTAAAGTTGCACCTCCAAATTATTCACGATGTCTTGAATTTACAAGCAAAATAACAATATTTCTCAAACTTTTATTAAATTTTTTTGTATTTTCAGAAATGCTCTTGTGTTCTTATCAAGTAATACACTTGTCAAAATTTTGTTTTGTTTCAGAAACTGTTCTCCAAAAGCACATTGTATTTTAGAATTTCATTTGAAGTTTAAGTATGGCTCAGAATACACGAAGGTGTATTTTTTATAATTTAATATGAATTTACTCAATTAGTGAGATGATCTATATATATAGATCATATATACAGATCTATATATACAGATATATATCTATGTATATAGATCAGCATGTCCATATTTTGACTTCCGTGTCTCTCCCAGAATTTGTACTACCCTGTATTCTATTTAACTGTGTTAACCTGTCTTAACTTGCTGAATAAACTGTATATGTAATTCATGTAATGTTAACAGTGATGGTTCCATAGTTCCTTGCAGACTTACCGTCAAAATATGTAAAAATGTAGCATATGTTTACAAAGACATATCACTTGAATCTGGATAATGAAATTTTACCTTAATGTTATGCCTTTATTTTTAATCCAATATCTGAAATTATAAATGTTTAAACTCTTTCTAATTTGATTTCTAATAGAAGCTCAAATGCTTTGGGCTAGTGTGAAGTTAGTTTAATAACACAATAGGCAATTTCTTAAGAAAAAAAGAATTGGATTTTTCATTTGAGAAAAAAAGGTAAAAAATTCTTGATGGTTTATGCCTGTGTGGCAAAGCTTCTGAATTTTATACAAAATCAGTAAACATATACATACAATAATATTAATTTTTTGAGCATGCTATAAATATTATTAGGTCATATGCTTATTTTAATTTCATACATTTTTGGCTTTTAGTATAAATAGTATTTTATTTATTATAGTAATAAGACTGTATACTACTCCAACCACATACTTTGTTTTTAATTTAAAAAGCATGTTATGAAAGATAAGATTAATTTAAATTTCATTTGTACATTATATTTATATAATTTTAGCCTCTTGTTAATATGTTAAAAAATCTAATTTTTATATTAACCACTTGTGCTGCCTCATGGGAGCACTTCTGATTTATTATACTAAAGAAACTGAAAATCAAATAGTGAACTTGGAATTTTCTGTGTACTACCACAACATTCATGGTCTCTTGTCTGTATTCCTTAGCTAGATTCTTCAATTCATTTTTTCAGGATAAAATGAATCTCAAACTTTCATAACTTTCTAAATGTAATAATTAAGTAAACATTAAATAGCATACTTGATCATATATGATTAGTGCCTAGATCATTATATTATACAATTTTATAAAATATTACTTTTAAAATGTACTTATTAAAGCAAGTTTTTCATGGCTAAAATTTTCTTCATGATGCATAGAATGGCAGCCATTCTATGTTTTTGAATAATGAACGGAATTCATACATTTTATTTATTTAAGAATACAAACCTGTTCAATTTATTTATTTACATGATCATTTACATGATCAAAGAGTACATTTTAGTTAAATTGCCTAAGTTTTTGTATTTTATTAAAGTGAAGCATTATGAATTCCATAAAAATATCAAATATCAAGTACAACGTCAACTGAAACTATGATTTTTAAATCTATATATGAGTATTGATATGTGTTCTCTATTTCTTGGTTTTTACTTTCATTAAATAAATAGTTATAGCTATTTAATATTTCAATATATATTTCAGGTTTATGACAACTTTCCAACTATATTTAATTGTTTTACATATTGACCGTTTTCCATATGAAGTTAAACTTTTTTTGAAAAATATGACCAGAAGCCTAAATTTATTGAGTATAAATTTTAGAACAAATAAATGGTGATGTTAGAGATGATATTAATTAAGATAAAGGATTAAGATTTAAAGTACATAGAACAACAAAAATAAAAAACAACATTTTAATGCAAATTTTTTTGCCAACTAATGAAAAATTCTGCTAAAGAAAAACAAATACATACTTCTAAATTGCATTTTTTTCTTTTCTTTTTTTTTGGTAGCGGTCTCCCTAGTGCCCAGGCTGGTCTTGAACTCCTGGCCTCAAGAGATCCTCCCATCTCAGCCTCACAAAATGCTGGGATTACAGGAGTGAGCCAATGCACCTGACCTAAATTCCATTTTCTTTTTTTTTTGTATGTGAGTGGATGTTAAGATAAACTTCCATTTGAGCAGCTGAGTACAGCTGACTCCTCTGGAGAACTTCTGCTGTATATGTTACTGGCTGAAAACAACTCTCTACAGTGGATACATGATAGATACATTAGAATCTGGAGAACATTTCTGGGGCACCTACTAGGTGCTGCACAATGTGCCAAGTACTTTGTCCACACTATCTCATTCCATTCCCATACAACCCTGCTGGTTCATGCTGTTATCCCATTTTATGGGTTAGAAAACTGAGGCCAGAGGATAATCATTCAAGTTAACTGAGCAGTAAGTGGTGGAGCTGGAGCACCAGGTCTACCTGACCCCAACACCCAGACTCGTTTTACAACAGCTTTGACAAACAGAGAAGGACATATGTCCACTCTTTTAAGTCTATCACAAACTTACCTGTAATAATAAACTTCGTCCCAAGACAAAATACTTCAATAATATCATCATATACCTAATAGCCAAATCCTATTACGATATTTGCACAATGTTGTCTGTTTTCCTTTAGTAGAAGCGTTTGTTTTAAAATTTCTCCTAAGATTTCTACGTAGAATCCCCATCACATTTCACTTTTTTCTAAACATTCTATTATCTCAGTTCAGTCATTTCTTGCCTTCCTTCTACTACCTTAGAAATAATATATTCTTCCAATACCTACCTGTGACAACAAGTGTTGTTCCACTATCGAAGAGTTTCTGATAACTCCACAGTGATTCAGTCCATATCAACAACTTTAGACTAATTTAATGTCCTTGAGTTCTTCAAACCCCGGTGGCACTATGAAGGCCTGGGATTCTAAAGAGACCAGGCTTCTGGTCCCGGTTCACTTTGCTTATAAGAAGTTCTGTTGCTGAGCAAATCAAATAATGTAAAGCTTTTGGTGTTTTATTTATCTAAGAACAATGGTGTGCATGTAAATCAATTCACCATCACTGCCAGCACTGAAGTGAAACCAAAACGAAACAAGATATCAAAAGCAATTTGATTAAGAATGCTATTGAAATATAACAGGTTATGATGATGATGGTGATGGCGATCGTTATCATTGTTGTCATTAGCAATTTGTTTGCTATGATTGGGTTCCAACAACATTTTAATCTCATAGGCCCAAATCTCTTACCAATAGAAATTCAGCACTTTGGAGTTGCAGTTAGATCCATGGCAATTAAGCAGGAAGAATAATTTCTCAGTCTCTCCATTTGTATTCCGTCTTGCCCTAACATGCCTGGGATTCTCAAACATCATCTCAGGGTACCTGCCTTTCACACAGCCAGACTCTAATAGGCTACCATCTGTCTTACCTGCCATGCTAAAACAATTAAGGAAGCATCTGTTAAAGTCTGATATCCTCATCCAGTGCATGGAAATGCTTCCCTTGTGTTGTCTAAAACAAACGGCTCTTTTCCTGATTAGAACATATTTACATTCCAAGCTTTCACTAGAAATTTCAGCCCAAACTGACTTCTCTCCAGCTCATGCCAAAGTCCAGGTTGAAACTCCTGACTGGGCCCTTCCAGACAGAATGGCCAGAGAAATGGCAGGAATCCTGGTCCTCAAATCCCTCTTCCTGTCATCACCTTACATCACTAAATGTTATCTGCATGACCTTATCTGCCAAGTGACCCATCTGTTCATGACATTAAGTTCTGCAATGCCCATAGCAGTCATGCAGCGGGAACATACATTTGTTTAAAAAATATTTCTTACATTTTCCAAAATGGATGCTGAAGGCAATGTCCACATTTCACTTTCCTCCTAAAAAAATGTGCACTAAAGTCTTTTTCTAATTTTATAAAGGGGAAAATATCACATTTGAAAATTTGGTGTGCTTCTTTTTATCAGTTAATAAAAAGTATGTATTCCACTTCCTTTTTATCCTACCTTGGGCTGTAAAATTTTACCCTGTGCTTCTTGCTGGATAATTACGGGATTCATTTCTTCTCCTTTCCTTAGAGCTTTTGATCTTTTATTTTTATTTAGTGGTTTAACTATACTTGTGTTTTTTATTTTATGTCTTCTCAAATAGGCAGCTTAGATGAACAATAAATAGTTTGTGCATTGTAGCATGTTTCTCTTTCAGCCCCAGAGGTTGACTGTTTTGGGACAGCTGGCTCAGGTAAGACACAGGGACAGAGAACACTGTTGCAAATCTGAGCTCTGGGATAGAGACACAGACATGCCCAATTTAAACAAGCTGGAAGTGCCAAAATGTAGGATGAGGCTTTCTTTCCCAAAATGATCCCTCACAATACAGAGATTGCCTTATGGTCTTTGTGTAACCTGTCATATTAAAAGATGCTGTTCTAACCTCAGCTTTGATCCAATACCACCTGGACAAGATATCAACATGGAATGAACTCAGGTAATGCTAGTTTTGGAGATAGCACTGGTAAAAAGAATAAGAGCAAAGGAATTTAAATTGGATTCGGTAATTATTACTTGGGGCTAAGGTCTCTGCAGTTTATACATACTTAACACATCTATAAAATAACAGAATAAATGGACAAAATGTTTTGCTTTTATTTTGTGAGTGTATAATTGTTTCCTGGGATAAAATATTCTGGGACACCACCATACAGGGATTCTAAAACGGACACTCAGACATGAGGTGACATAGAAAGTTGCTCTAAGATAAATGTTTTAAATGCACAAGAAGAGTCTGAATAAAATTTTTAATGAAATATAAGGACAAAATTGCCATGTTTCTCAACTTATATTTGTATTGATATAATTTTTAATTTTGTAGGTACAGTCCAATTATGAAATTAAATCTTATAAGTAGACATTTGGCTATTTATCTATCTTTCTATAAGTTTATATATTCAAGTTGGGGAAAAATCTTTTTTTAAATGTCTAGATATCTCTACTGAACTATGGAGCATCACCTTGAATTCAGGCAGATAATATTTAAGATAATGCATATTACATTCTAATTACTTTTGGAAGCAGGTACAATTAGTCTTAGAAATAGAAAGCATTTTGCAAATAGTGACATTTGTTCTGAAGTAGCTGTAGATTAGATGGTGATTAATATATTTATGTGTATTCCAGAGTTTGTAAAGACCTCTAATGGTGGTAATTTGAAATCTGGAGAAGGAATTAATATTTCTATCACCTACTAACTGCCATTGTAGTAGGCAACTTCCCTGTTTAATTTCATTTAATTTTTACAATGTCCACTTGTGATAGACAATCTTTATTATCTTCTTTGTACAGATCAACTAAAAATCAGAAGTTTCCAAACTTGCTCAGTTATTGACTCCATTAAGGACATTTAAAACGAATGTTTATGAAGTAGTGTGAACTGAAAAAAAAAAAAAAAACGGATCCATTATTGTTTTAGTATGATCCCAACTTTGTAAAACAAAAATTAAAAAATACATAGATAAAATGATTGAATAAAAATATAACAAAATGATAATGATGAGGAGTGCCAAGACTATATTTTAACTTTTTATTTTGGGGTATTTCCCAATTCTCTATAATGAGCCAACATTTTTATAATTTTAATAAAGCAACAATTGGTTAATCAAAATGTACTTGCTAAAGGGTAGTGACATGGAAAGGAGTAGCCCCAGGAGCTATATCCAGAATCAAAGTCCATACCTTTTGCTGCACTATGTTTTCCTAAAAATCACTTCTCAGAGAACCTAGGAACAGTATCAGTGTCACCATTTTTCAATGGGATGGCTGCAATTCACATTGAGACAATTAGACAAAAGAGGGTCATGAAGTCACTTTTCAGTTTATGAGTTCATTTCTTCAAATGATCTCCACCACTAAGGAAACCAAAATAAATAAGCTATTTCATTTTTGTCAATGCTTTATCAGCTTTGTGACAATTCTCTGAAAACTTTCATTTCGGTGGGTATAACAGGCTAGGGATATCTTTGTAAGGTGTTCATCCTCATCCACAAAAAATTGTATCTTTAAGGCTAATGAGGAATAAACAAATTTATTGGACTGAATTAAACAACAACAACAAATAAATGTAGCTTATGTCATTCTTGAATATGGCCACACAGCAAAATATTCTGACATTGAATATTAAGCATCCTGTTAATATTAAATCACTAAATATTTAATCCTTCTGTGACCAAATGACAAGTTTAGCTTTTTTTTTTTTTACCTTTTTCATTGTTTACCATTGATTATTTTTAGATTTGAATAAATGAAATATAACCTAAACTTGTTTACAAAACTTTCGGCAGAGAGACACCAATGGGACACAAGGTCCCCATCCCTTGGGGATCTACAGTGACTCCAAGCTCCCTGTTAAGGTCTCCCATGCTTAGAGTCCAGACTCCTAAGACCTTGACCAAGTCACCCTACCTCTCTGGAGCTCCCACCATGATTAGCGACCAAGCCAGGAGAAAGTTGTGAGCCAGCACCCACCTGCCTGCCTCTCCTCCCTACTTCACCCTGCAGAAGTTACAGAAAACATATCTGTGACGATGAGCTTTGTGCCAGTGCCAAACACCTTGATATTTCTGCCATCCATTTACCCACCACCTGAAAAGCCTTCATAAAAATCTCTCTTTGTGCTTTTTTTTAAGATTGAACTGATTTTTTCAATATGTATGTAAATACATACAAACTGGCCCTAATGACATTAAGCCAAGACTCAGCTCAAAGAAAATCACAAGAGATCAGAATACAATCAGGAATTTAAGAACTGACCCCACTCTGCCCGGGAGGTTTGGGTTCTACCTTCTCTCTTCTTTAATCGCACAGGTTTGAGAGTCTGATTTTACCTTTTCTCATAACTTTGCCTGAATCTTCTAAGTCTCCTCCCTTAGAGGGTTTTCACACAAGAAATAAGTTCTTGTTCTAGAGTGTAATTTAGAGTAAATTAATATGGCCTCAATTTTTAAGAAATGATAATAGGAGTTTCAGGTTTGAACACTTAGTAAATGTATAATAGGCATGATTTATAGGTTTCTTTGTGATTCATATGTATGGAGGAATGAGTATCTGGACTGATTTTAAAGTAACCTCTTTGCCAAATCATTATCCACAGTGGGCAACTTCCCATTAATAGTAGACAAGATGACTTGCTATAGAAAATGAATTCTGAATGATGAACTCTTAAGCTAGTCACTCATTACTGCTGAAAGACTGCTCCTTTTCTGAGTTGAAAAATAGCTTTACAGCTTCCAGAGCATTGAATTAAAATCCTAAGCTGCCCAACAGATTATCCCAGGAAGCTCTGTGTTATGCAATTGCTAGGGCAATTTAGTACAGCTGCAATAGCTCCTTTACCAGCTTCAATATTTCTGCATATATGATACCAATACAGAAAGATAATTGAGTGGAATGGTATCAAAATGACTCATCACTGCAGAGAAATACCTTAAGAATTATATTAAGAATATTTAATAAAAGCATATTCAATATGACTTTTATAATTTTTTGTGGAGAGAGATGTAATTTTAGTGCTATAATTAGAAGTATAAGCATTGTGTTCATTTATGAGTACTAATACAAATTGTAAGCTGTTACTAATTAAATAGTAAGTTAAAGAGTCTACTTAAAAGGTCAGGCTATCAAAGAGGAAATAGAATATAAACACTTGACTTAATATCTCTAAATATCACATAATGGTCCAGACCATGCACTCTGGAATAGACATGCCAAACTTTGCCACAATAACTAGTTATGTGACTAGAAAAGTACCTGAACTTCTCTAAGCCTC